TAATAATAAAATCTTTATTTATACTGATAAAAAGACCGTTCAGTCAATTACATAGATTGGCTGGTATCAATCGGTGATCAGTGTATAACAAGTATATATACAATAACATAAGTGCGTAACAGTGCATAAATAAGGCTATATAATGTAAACACTGTTTACACCTGCAACCTCCACTGCGATTCCAGGCGCGACACTCCTCCCCCGATGCATGCGAACGAGCAGATGAGCAATGAATGTTCTGAGTACATGTACCTTCATCTAAACATTCACAACTCATCCACCCCCTCACACCCACCAAGAGAAAAAGACCGCACCCAAAATCGCAGCAAAAATTGCAAGTGTCAACAGGCCTTAAGATGTCTAAAATTACAAACTACAATTGTGCGTAACAGCATCCATGTTTATCAAGTGTTTAAACACTTCATTCTTGAACCGCACAAGTGTTTTTAATTCTCGTATTTCTGTCGGTAGAGAATTCCAATCTTTGGCAGCCGAGAATCTGAATGAGGTCTCGCCGCATCTAGTTTTTACTGGCGGTAAATCTAGCAATGTTGGATCTCTAAGAGATCGACAGTGCATTTGTGATCGTCTTACTAGATAGCCTATCAACTGCTTCGGGCAGTTTATGTTGTTTACGATCTTATAAACGTATTGCAATCTTATAAGACGACGTCTTCCGTACAGTGACAAAAGGTGTAATTTAGCACGCATCTCCTGAGTACATGTCTTACGGTTCGCGTGTAACACTATCCGCATCGCTTGATTTTGTAGTCGTTCTAAGCTTTGGACGTTTCTCTTTCCGCATTCAGCCCATACGACGCATCCGTAATCTAACAGGGGAAGCACAGTTTGCTTGTAGATCTTTAGCAAAACATTGCGGCTAAGAAAATGTGAAATTCTGTTAAGCAGTTTAAGTTTTGGATAAACTCTTGATTTTATATACGTGATATGTTTATTCCATGTCAGGCAGTTATCTATATAAACACCTAGGTGCTTATAATATTCTGACTGTTTCATTGGGTTTCCATCAAGTATAATCTGTAACTCTCTGGTATTCTTGACAGTGTACCTCGATCCAATCAGCATTGCCTCACACTTCTTGTGATTACTGATTAGGCCGTTCTGATTCCACCACATTACGATATTTTCAAGATCTTAGTTGACCCGTTGTTCCGCCACGTCAATGTCTTTCGAGCTCGCATGGATTTCTGTATCGTCTGCGTACAACGCCGCCTCACTGTCCTTGCACGCATCAGCGATCCCGTTTATATGGATGTTAAATAGCGTTGGGCCGAGGACTGAACCCTGTGGAACTCCGTGTGTAATTAAACGCCGTTGCGACTCTACGCCTTCGCACGAGACATATTGCTTTCTTTCGTGTAGATAACTCGTGAACCATTTCAGTTCGTTTCCAGTCACTCCGCTTTTCGATAGTTTGCTTATCAAGATGTCATGATCTATGATGTCAAACGCCTTTCTCAAGTCTAGGAAGGTGCAAACAACTTTCTCTCCTTTGTCTATAGCAAATTTCCACGAGTCAACGGTAATAATAAGTGCTGTTGTAGTTGACGAGTTTCTGGCGTACGCAAATTGATGGTCACCGATAAGATTATTCTCCGCTGCGAATTCTTGTAGATCGAGATTGGCGAACATTTCTTGCGCCTTTGATATGCAGGGCAGAACGGAAATTGGCCTTCGGTTGTCACGATCAGTCTTGGACCCGCCTTTAAACAATGGTGTCACTCTCGCCGTTTTCCACGAAGATGGAAAGCGACCGTACTGATAGCATGCATTGAATATATTAGATACAACGTTGCTGATATAGGGAGCAGCGGTCTTCAAGACTTTAGCCGATATATTGTCTGCTCCTGTAGCTTTCGATATATCCATTGTTTGTAAGACGTTGAAAACGTCGTCTTCATTCAAGACACGAAATTTAAAAGTGTACGCTGCATATTCTGCAATTATTGTGCAAATATTTTACGCTTTTGTTTTTTACGTTGTGTCTTCCTGTTGTGATGACCCATTATTTGGACCTGTGGCATTTAAAAACGGTTAAAACAGCAATCTTTATACCTAGTGATGGCAATTGATGGCGTTGCTCGCGTTTGATGGCGTCGTTATTATCGTTAGATCTAGTGATATTAGAAATATAATAGATATTGAAAACCTCGAACAATTATCTGAGCAAGAATTAGCTAACAAGATCAATGAAGCTTTCTTGGATCCCTTATCTGTATATAAACTGCCCAGCCCCCTTCTTCCTTTCGAGCTAGAAGTTAACAACCCTGAGTTTTTAGTAGTCACTGAAGAAACAGTGTATTCATATTTATCAACATGGGCGTACCGGAAGGAAAAAATTAGGGGGGCGGAAAGAAAATTGCCCAACTTTTCGGGATTCTGCCCGACTAGTACCAAAAATTTTTTTTCGGAAAAATTATTTTGGCGACCCCCCCCCGTCGCCAAAAAAAGTTCGGTCAGTGTACCATTTTAGGGGTCAAAAATTTTTTCCGGACAACCAATATTTTTCGGAACATAACACAAATTTTCGAAAAATCACAAAATTTGCCAAAAAATTGACTTAATTTTAGACAAAATTGACAGAATTTGTCCCATTTTTTTTTATTGCAAACCAAAATTGCCCGACTGTTGATCGAATATTGCCCGACTGCCCAAAAAACTGGGGGGCTACCGCCCCCCCGCCCGGTACGCCTACGTTTATCAAAGCTGAACCCTACAAAAACTTGTGGTCCTGATGAAATATCAAATTGGCTTCTTCGTGATTATGCAGCTATATTAGCGTTCCCAATTAGTACCATCTTAAATGCTCCCTTCAAGCAACGACGACTTCCATCGATGTGGAAACTAGCCAATGTTTTACCTATACCTAAATCTAAGACAGTTCAAATCTTAGAAAAAGATCTCAGACCTATCTCACTGACCCCGAGCATATCCAAAGTAGCTGAAGAATGTGTGGTAAATAGATATATCAAACCTGCGGTTCTGAAATCCATCGACTCAAATCAATTTGGTTCTATTCCTAATTCTTCAACCACTTTTGCTTTAATAGACATGTTACATCACTGGACCTCAATGTTGGACGGAACAGGAGCAACTATCCGAGTGTTTTTATTTGACTATAAAAAGGCATTCGATTTCATCGATCATAGTATCCTAAGGATCAAGTTAGGTGCTTTAGATTTACCAACTAGTATCATCAACTGGATTATCGACTTTTTATCGGATAGATATCAAAGGGTTAAGCTGTCAAATAGTTGCCTTTCTGAATGGGGCCAAGTACCGGCTGGTGTTCCTCAAGGAACCAAATTAGGCCCTTGGCTCTTCTTAATAATGATTAATGATTTGAAGAAACATAGTGAGAACTTATGGAAATACGTTGACGATACCACGGCGTCGGAAGTTGTATTGCAAGGCGAGCACAGTGAAGCTCAACTGATTGCAAATGAAATTTTAGATTGGTCCAATATCAATAGAATGCAATTAAATGCTGATAAATGTAAGGAGATACGAATTTCTTTTGCACGGAATCAACCCGAGCTTAACCCAATTTCAATTGAGAATCAAATCATAGAAGTTGTATCCGATTTTAAAGTGCTAGGTCTTAACATTAGCAACAACCTTACGTGGAATAAACATATCACTGAATTAGTCAAGAAAGCCTCCAAAAGGATATATTTCCTTATTCAACTTAAGAGAGCAAAAATCCCAATACAAGAACTAATCACATTTTACATAACCTGTATAAGATCTGTGTTGGACTATGCTGTCCCGGTTTTCCACTACAGCCTACCCAAGTATTTAAGTCAAGATTTGGAACGAGTCCAGAAACGCGTATTTGGAATTATTTATCCCCATTTGAAATATGAGGAAGCTTTAAATCTCAGTGGAATTGAACATCTTTCCACTCACCATCAAAACAGCTGCAAGAAATTGTTTAATGCAATTATCAAAGATTCTAATCACAGTCTACATTACCTCTTGCCGCCAAGGCATAACTCCATCCACGACCTGAGATCTATTAGATCTTTTGACGTTCCAGTTTGTAAAACCAATCGGTTTAGTAATAGTTTATTATGGCATCGAGTAGCAAAACTGAATAGGTTTTACTCTTCATTTACCTATTTTATATTCTTAATAACTTTTGCATGCTTATTATAAACAGACACTTTTGACAATTTAGTTAATTAACTATAATACTTTAATATATTTCAAAACTCTAATTTTTAATAATTTTTAATTGTAAGTATAATACGCAATTCAGCTCATGGCTGCAATGTATTTACCATTTCTAAATAAAAGTATAAGTATAAAAGTATAAAAGTATTACACTTGCTTGCTGGCGCTTGCGCATAAAAAATCTCGGACATAATTTTGGCTGAGTGAGGTTTCTGGTCTATTTTCTATTCTGTGATAGAACGCTGGAATTTTTCGCCTTTCTGAAAGGGTGGGTCATAATTTTTCAGCACCAATTTAAGGGTGGGCTACAAATTTTCGTGCAGCTATTAAGGTGTGGGCTTCCAAAAGTGCAGACACCAAATATATGATTTTCCCAGCCCACCCTCCCCCTTTTACTTTATGACGGACCCTAAGACGCCAATCAAGCTTAAAGCGGTGACTGTCTAGAACTGAAACACTGCCGATAGCATTTTTTGTACCAAGCATAAAACTATGCAAAATATCATCGGATAGTGCTATTTGAAAGTAAGAGAGGTTGTCAATCGTAATTTTTTATTTATGTGCTAAAATTTGTAGGTATTTCCCAGAACATTTCAATGGATGGGATTTCTCTCAAGTGCTGTATTTCATATCAGTATTTTATTTGAATTGGCTGACCGCATCTAATTAACATGTGTATAGTTCGGGTAATCTTCATTCGCATATTTCAAAACAATATGCTAATAGTAATAAGTATCAGTATGGCCCAAATACATCAAAATACGACATTGCAAAATGAAGCCAAAACAAGCTGTTTACCTTGTGTTACAAGCATGGCAACATGCAACCCTGTATGGGTAGAAAAGACATGAGTCAATATTACAAGCTCGGTTGCCATCCATATATCACGATATATTGCCGTTAAATCAGTAGACAGTAGAGTTTTGGCCTGAAAATGGAAAAAAAATAGTATGATTACGCAAAAGCGAGTTCTATTACAATACATAGCTATATCTTCGATATTGTCAAATATTCAAAATAAAAAGCTATAGTTTACGAGTTTAAACCTTTGGGTACTCACTCGTTCTCATTAATCCTTCTCTGCTTTCAAACTCACCTATACATAAGATATTGTAACACGCGCACTAATGATATACTATGTTTCATTAGCATATCACTCTGAGTTATGGGAGAAAACCAGAAATTTGCACATGTTAATTAAATAGTCAGCCAATTATAATAAATTTGTAATATCAAATACTGCATTTCACAGAAATCCCATCCATCGAAATGCCGTTACAAAAACATTCCAATTTCGGTACATAAATAAAAAAAATACGGAAGACAACAACTCTCAACAAAGCTTAATCAACATATTTGAATAATTATACTGTTTCCTTAATTCTCGATCCAGTTCCTGTTTTTTATATTCATTGCATTGAAGGAATTTCCTCAATGATTAAACGACAAACGGAATTCCAGCATGTGTACGCGTCACCCCCGTCATAAGACGTGCATTTTCCAACAGAAAGACCAACTGTAACCTTTCCTTTTGGAATATTGTTACAGAAGCCGTCCAGTGTACCTGGACGATGATGGTTCAGATTGCTGACTCCGTTTGCATAGATAACTGCATCGATAGGCGCTGGAGACGAGCACTCCTTACCATTGATTGTAATACTGACCAACGTCGACAACATATCCTGTTGGTACAACTCATGACTCGCAAGTCTCCTTGATACGTCACACGAAGGGCTGAGTTGGAGTGAGCCTTTTGAAAATCACAAGTCTGTAAAAATAAGTAAAAATAGAAAAGAATATATCAAATACGATATGGTTCCTTTCGAGAACCTCATCATACATGTATGAAATTATGTCAATGGTAAAAGTATTGGGTATGAATACTGCGTGCATGAATATAGTCTAAACAATAGACATAAATTTTCTGTTTAATACCTGAATTTGACCCTTATCTTGACCATCATCAAGATTTTTAAAAGTGCATTGTTTTACAAGTGGGGCCTGACGTGGTCTTGATTCATCATGGCCACCACAGGAGCAGCTACATGTACTGGTAGCTTTCTGAAATAAGAATGGAGCATATAGTTTGCACGAATACTGTTATCTAATTCTGTGTCGAAGCATTTATTGGGAAAACCTAAAAATTAACTAACTTTATTGACAGCGCCGACTCACAGCGGATATATATAACTATTAGTTCTTACTGTACATTATTAAAGGCCAACCCTGACAACAGGAAGAACCAGAGTAGCCGTATGGAAAAAACAGAGGTGCGTAGTGGAAAGAGTCTGGGTACGAGGTTGAACGTGTGTTTGGTCAATCTCGTACCCAGAGCCATCGTTGCATGACAATCGACAACGATGGCTCTGGGTACGAGATTGGTGTTTGGTAAAGTTAACAGAGCACTCTTCTCACATGGAACTGAGGAAAAACTATAACCAAACAATTGCATACTGGAACATTCCAACTCCGGCCTCAGAGATGATAGCCACATGCACTAACCACTATATTTATAGTTGAGTTCTATAGTTAAATAATTGCTTTTTATCATAGGAGGGAATCCTTAGCCTTAGTTGTAATACCCTCAATCTTCAGTAACAGCCCTAGCGCGCTTACCACATCTGTCACCCGTATATCTCGCGTTTTTTTTATCTTCTGTGCATGTACAGTGTGAAATGTGAACGAGGTTTGAAAGGAAATGTGGGAAATAAAAAACACTTGACTTTCACAATGAAATTTTCAACATACCGCATACAGCACAGCAATGGAGAACAAAATTAAGCCAATGGAGATAATTGATTGTTTCATTCTGAAATGTTTTGAAATGACTTGATGTTTCTTCTTCGACAAACTGTGTAATACTGAATTATCTTGTCTTGTGCTTAAACTTTATCATCGTGAGGGGAAATCTGAATATCGCTACTGAAACGGATGTTAAAACTGCTAAAGTATTTATTTCTTATAACTCATTGTCTTTATTTTGAATAGCAAGTTTTGAAGTTTACATAACAAGGCAGTTTAATGAAACGTTATCTCAAGTCTCAACTATACATGGTAGTATCTGAAACTGTAGGGTCTTATACAAAACATTAATTTGTAGAAGATTCCTCGACGTTTTGAGTAAAAGCCCCTGGATCGGTATGAAACATGATTGAGAGCTTGGCAACTTAATTCACAACTATTCTTACAAAGGGTTTGATGGCTCGTTCGGCAAACTGTGCATGTATAATGGATATTCTTGTCTTGTGCAATAATATCATTAGACATTATGCCGACAAAATCTGAATATCGTTGCTGAAACGGATGGGACAAAGTGTTTATTTCCGATGTCAACCATAATATGTCACGTGCAGTGGCTTTAAACCTGATAAAACACTCCTAGTTAGTATTCTTTATATAAAGAGTACTAATAAGGTAGTATCTATTGTAGTGGTGTCCTCATTAGTATTCTTGATATAAAGAATACTAATAGGCAGCATATCTCTTGAATTTGTAGTCGTGTTTGAAGCCGTTTAATAAACTCGCAGGTCGTGTTTTATTAGGTCTAAAGCCACTCGCGCTGAGCACTCGTGACTTTAAAGATGATGTCCACTCCGTTCTGCGCATCAGTTCTGCTCATAACAAAAGGGCACCCCCAGATATAAACATTGCCCAAATTCTGCATCTTCGGAACTTTTTTTGAATTGAAACGTACAGTTTATATTCATTTATAAGTATAGCGAACCAGAAAAGTGTTCGATATTCAGTTAGTATATCATAATTTACAAATATAGCAGTTCAAAACGTAAACAAAGTTCGCGCATGTGCACAGGATCTTTAAACCTAATAAAACACTCCTGCTCGTTTATTAAACAGTACATAATGAATATACTTAAAAATTTTAATACCTTATTGAATTCTGATAGTTTAATTGGCTGTTTATGGTCACGTGATATTGAATAGAAAATTCCATTTCCCAAGAGTGCAAGTAGCCTCCTCCGCAGGCATCTCACCCAAGGAACCCATTCGCAGGCTAGAACCCATAGAGAGGCCTGCGGAGGAGGCTAGAGTGCAATGGAATACGTTCCATTGCACTCTTTGCGAGTGCAATTGTGCTATACGTTTTATTCCATTGCACTCTGTTTTGAATGATTTGAAACATTCAGTTTCTGTTATATTTGTTTGTATTTATTTTAATATTAAATGGTGTTTTAATAAACTGTTCTTGAAAAAGCAATATTAGCCTGTTTTGGTATTATGCAAAATTTTCATTCAGAGAAAGATGGAATGTTCCATTCAACTCGGATGTCGCCTCGTTGAATGGAACATTCCATCTTTCACCTCATGAAAATATTCTTACCATTGCACGAATAAAAACATTCATTATTTGTATAATATAACTACTTACAAAATTTGGGTTTTAATAATAAAAACTTACAGTCAATGAATATATAAATTAGACACTTCAGTCATTGCGGTAATTTCTAAGCCTATATATAATTAAATGTTTAAATGAATGAAGAAAAAAAAACTCATAATTATTGGTAAAGTCGTGAGGTAAGTTATTCCATGACACGGCTCCTCTGTAGGAAAAGTTGTTCTTCAGAAAGTTTGTATTTGGTTTAGGAAGGACTAATTTACGATTGTTGCTTCTTAAAGTATGTGCCATCATGCATGGCACATGTTAAACGTTTGTTTTGGATAAGTAGGGTCCCAATGGTATAGGGACCCGACCAAGCATAGTGAACCAGAAGAGTGTCAAAAATTTAGTATAATATATATACCTAATCATATTTTACAACTGTAGCACTGAGTTCAAAATATAAACAAAGCATTTGTTTACATCTTTACATCGGACTTTACAGCATCTTTAAATTATGGTTACATCAGTGCAGAGGCAATCGTTTGACATTGGTAACTTCCGGTTTTATATGCGACACTGCCTTAATTGCAAAGTTTTTATGTAAGAACATTCTGTTTTATCGCTGGTTGTTATGAGTCTTTTTTCTCAGTTGACCGGAGGTGGCCTAATGGAAGTATTGTATAAAGGGCTGCTATAATTGGCGAGAGCTGTTGCGCACACTTTAATGCTATTTGTCTATATCGAGTATGATTGTAATGTGAATATATTGGTGTAGTGCTTGATGAACACTTATCTTGGAAACCTCATGATGTCTCGCATATATCGCTAACAAAATATCCAAATCAATTAATAGGGGTTATATACAAGTCAAGTTTTTGTTTACCAAAATCAACTTTATTGTCATTATATTATTCCTTGATCTATCCATATCTTCAATATTGCATTATTGTGTGCATGGGGTTCAACATATACCCTAACAATCTAAATCGTATATTTTATTACAAAAACGTGCAGTGCGAATAATTTGTAAAGTGTCTTACGACGAACACACAAATTCATTATTTAAGCACCTACGAATAGTGAAGCTTAGCTAGGGATATTTATTTATTAAGTTTAGATAAATTTATGTATTTTTTTTTAAAGGTTTGCTTCCAACCATTTTTACGACTTTTTTGCATTACCCAATGAAATACATCCGTATGATACTCGTAGCTTTAACTTATTTCATATTCCATATTATCGTACCAATACCACTGAGACAGTTCTCTGTGAGTTACCAAGGACCTAACTTTTTTAATTCACTGAGTTCAGATCTGCGCCGTACTGTTGTTTCAGTTTCGAGTTTTCAATTTCAGCTTAAACAACATCTTTTTTTCCAAATATTAGTCCCATAATTGTTATATATTATATAGTTTTATTAATTATTATGTAACATTTACTGAACTATTAATTAGCATGTTAATATTCCGATCCCCTCATAATTTTCTATAAATATTATAAATATTATATATATATATATATATATATATATATATATATATATATATATATATATATATATATATATATATATATATATATATATATATATATATATAAATATATATATACCGGGTGTCCCAAAAAAAAGTACTCCGGTTTGATTCGTAATAACTTCTAAGCAAGCAAACCTTTTAAAGAGAAATAACATGCATCAAATAGAGGAAGGACTAACTTAGATTTTGATATATTACAGTTGTACTTTACTTAAAAATTCACGGAGATATTAATGTTCAAAATCGGGAGCATATTTTGGGATGTGTCTAAATTTAGCGAAAATCGGCATATCAAATATTAACTTCAGCGTTTGTTTGCTTGATGACATATCAGGCTAACTTGTATTTCAGCGAATTGTCGTTAGGGTTTGTAAGGGATATGGCGTAGATTTAGACTTCTTACATGTAAGTCTTAGCTCAATGTTTCCTGAAATATGAACGTACGAAATTATGCAAGTATTTAATAGGTCTTTACAAACTTTACAAATTTATAAGGTACATGAAAGACCATGCAAGGCAGGCGTTAAATTTTTCTTAGCCTAATTTTTTATGTTTTTCATGGGTTCAAAACAGAGTTGATTATTTCTCGGTTAGAGCAGGATGAATATTATTCTGCAATGAAGGAAATAATATTGCTTTTTGCAAATACACATCACAGTATGAACGCTACTATTTTGTTACGTTTTGTTCCAAAAATTTTGGATGTCTCTAGGGAGTTGCATGCTTAATTGTTATGTCTTATGGAGTTGAATGGTTTGATTGTGTTTTATTCTCAGTTTATTCTGAACTTAAAAAGATTAAGAAAAGGCAAATGAGTTTGAGTGTTCTTAACAAGATTTCAGAACGTTGCAGAAGTTAGAAGAGCTTCACAATTCCATTGTGACAGCATGCCCTAATTCAGAACTACGAACGACCATGATGATCCTTCGCGATGCAGTGGTCTCATGAAATAAGCAAACGTATTCGTGCTAGGAACACACACAGATTTCGGATGAATAAATCTTGCTTGTATTTTGTAGATAATAATACAGACTTTGTTTCATAATAAACAATTTATCAAGTGTCATTTATTTACTGGTGATCGTGCATGTTTCAGTCGGGAAAATCTTGATTAATATTTGATACGCCGTTTTTTGCATATTTCAGACACATCCAGAAATATGCTCCCGATTTTAAACATTAATATCTCCGTAAATTTTTAAGTGAAGTGCAACTGTAATATATCAAAATCTAAGTTAGTCCTTCCTCTATTTGATGCATGTTATTTCTCTTTAAAAGGTTTGCTTGCTTAGAAGTTATTACGAATCAAACCGGAGTACTTTTTTTTGGGACACCCGGTATATATAGAAAATAGAAAATTATATATATATATATATATATATATATATATATATATATATATATATAATATTTGTGGTGTTACTCTGAGTGTATTATATCCACACCGGGCGAGCTTGAAAAATATGCCCGGCCACGGTGGGATTCGAACCAAATATCATATTCACCTGAGTACACTACACCAATATATATATATATATATATATATATATATATATATATATATATATATATATATCGAATAGGCATGCGTACTACATGTCGTAGTTTCAAAGCAGCGTAAAGAGCCATGAACGGACTATGACTTTCATAGTCCGTTCATGGCTCTTTACGCTGCTTTGAAACTACGACATGTAGTACGCATGCGTATTCGAGATATGACTTACTTTGTCACTTTTATAATATTTTGTGTGTCCCACATCCGCATCCTACTTTGTCGTCATATATATATATATATATATATATATATATATATATATATATATATATATATATATATATATATATATATATATATATATATATATATATATATATACCTAAGTATGAGGTGCCCAACGTTTTATGACTATAAGCTTTGCTTCTTGTTGGGCATCCTCGCCACCTTCTTTGTAGATGTTTCTTTTGTTATTTTTGTATTTTACTGTATGTTTTGTTGTGTGGTGAATTAAAATATATCTATCTATCTAAATATATGAATTAGGTAATAAATATTAATTAGAGGTAAAATTTAAACTTCAAACACAAAACAGGAACGACAGCTAAAGTTCCTCCAAATGTATCATCAGAATATCACAAATTGTTTTGCACGTTATTTATCGATGATCCTATGCGATTTCTTAAAGAATGCTTATACAGGGAAAATTGTCTTAGATGAACTTGGAGATCAAAATTGAAAAACTTCTTTAATAGCGCATGCGCATTTAAACTGGGTACGCCAGCCGGCAGACACATTAAAAGAACCTGGACAAAAATGAATGCTGAGGTGTTTATTTGTTTCACATTCTCATATGACTACAACACAATCAGACATTACCTCGATTAAAAAAACTGCTTTTATATAGTTTACGACTTATAAGTTGGACATACATAACATACGGTATGAGCTAAAAGTTTACTGTAAAAGGCTTAATTAATTAACATATTTGAATATACTGTTTCCTTAATTCTCGATCCAGTTCCTTGTATTTATTGCATTGAAGGGATTTCCTCAATGATTAATAAACGACAAACCGAATTCCAGCATGTGTACGCGTCACCCACGTCATATAGGACCAATTTTTGCAGCTTCCAACAGAAAGGCCAACTGTAACCTTTCCTTTTGGAATATTGTTACAGAAGCCGTCCAGTATACCAGGACGGTGGAGTATGGAAAGCCATAGCTGTCTTAAGTGATCAAACGTCATTTTGTTGGCTCAATAAGCTCATAATGCTCAAAGCACCGCGTATAATGCTAGAACCACCGCGTATGATGGTGAAAGCACCGCGTATAATGCGAAAAGCACCCAACAAAATGCCGTTTGATCACTTAAGACAGCTATGGCTTTCCATAGTGGAGGTTCAGATTGCTGACTTCATGTGTGTGGATGACAGCATCGATGGGTGCAGGGGATGAGCATTCTTTACCATTGATTGTAATAAACCAACGTCGACAACATTGACAGTTGGAACAACTTACGAGTCCCAAGTCTCGTTGTTATATATGTCAGCAGTCTCTGGACTGGCAGACCCCCTTTTGCTTATGGAATGTGCAGTGATAGAATTTTCATAAAATTACATATGCAAATGTTGAATTTTTTACATGCTATTTATCGGTATCATATGAAATTTCGTGCAGAAAATGTTGAAAAACCGTTAGAAAATGTTGAAAAACTGTTAAAAAATGAATCAAAATTACAAAAACGTGTTTTTCTAAAAGTCAGACCTCGGACAAAAATTAATGCTGGTTTGACTTATTTTCATTATTTCAGATTACTACAATACAAACAGATTTTAATAGAACTGCTTTTATAAATAGTTCTATATGTTGGACATGTCAGCTATAGCTAAGAATTTAAAGGTTAAGTGAACAGTGAAAATTTCGATCCAGTTTCCGTTTTTGTCTTCATTGCATTGAAAGGATTTCTTCAATGATTAAACGACAAACCGATCTCGAGCATGTGTACGCGTCACCTACATCATAGGACCAATTGTTGCATTTTCCAACAGAAAGACCAACTGTAACCTTTCCTTTTGCAATGTTGTTACAGAAGCCATCCAGTGTGCCAGGACGATGAACGTTCAGATTGGCGACTCCACCTGCGTACATGTGAGCATCGATGGGCGCAGGGGATGAGCATTCTTTACCATTGATTGTAATAAACCAACGTCGACAACATCTCCCGTTGGAACAACTTATCATTCGCAAGTCTCCCTGATACGTCACACGAAGGGCTGAGTTGGAGTGAGCCTTTTGAAAATCACAAGTCTGTAAAAATAAGCAAAAATAGAAAGGAATATATCGAACACGATATGGTTCCTTTCGAGAATCTCATCATACATTTATGAAATGATGTCAATGGTAAAAATATTGGGTGTCTAGTAAACAATAAAATAAACACTGCATGAGTATTGCATGAGAGTATAGTCTACAGAATAGACATTAAATTTTCTGTTTACCTCAATCTGACCCTTATTTCGATCATCATTAAGACTTTTAAAAGTGCACTGTTTTACCAGTGGGGTCTGATATGTGGTTGATTCGTGGCCACCACAGGAGCAGCTACATGTGCTGGTAGCTTTCTGAAACAAAAATGGAGCATGTAGTTTGCATATATATATATATATATATAGTTCTTATATATATTCTGTGTCGAAGCATTCCCTTGGGGGAAATCGTAGGTTCAAAACTAAACTAACTTTAGTGACATCGGACAACCATCAGTTCTTACTGTAAATCATTACTGAAATCCCTTTAGGCAGGGCCAGCGAAAATGGAAGGAAGAACGATGGTTAAACAAAAAATAAAATTGAAAAAAATGTTGTCCAAAAACAAATTTTTGATGTTGTGCCGCCGTAAGTGGTTGTAATGTACTCGGCAAAATTTGTCTTGATACTTGGCAAATTTCACTCGCCCCCCATTCAAAGAGGTCTAGCACCGCCCCTGCCTTTACGACTCGTGTGACAACAGCTAGGACAAAACCTGCAAAGCCAAAGTACGTGCATGGAGAAAACTCCATGTGTTTGGTAAAGTTAACAGAGCATCTTTAATTCTCACGTGGATGTTCGAACTCCGTCCTATAAGAAATGAAAGGCACATGCGTGCAATACAGTAGCGATCCCTGTAGTTGAGTCACTGCTTCATATCATAGACATATACAGTATATAGCGCAGTTATTTATTCTTAGTAACAATATCCTATACCCTCAACCATCAGTAACAAGCTTGCATTAACTTGGCGCTAATTTAAAGGGCAGGGCTCGAACTGCACCTATATCATCCAAACTTCATGCATCTCCCTTCGAACCACCATCGTCACTCGACAGCGTAAAATGTGAAGGTTTGAAAGTAAAAAATAAAAAAAAACCTACCGCATACAGCACAACCATGGAGAGCAAAATTAAGCCAATGGAGATAATTGATTGTTTCATTCTGAAAAGTCTTCTTTGAAATGACTTGATGTTTCTTCTTCGACAAACTGTGTAATACTGAATTTTCTTGTCTTGTGCTTGAACTTTATCATCGTGAGAGGAAATCTGAATATCGCTGCTGAAACGGATGTCAAAACTTGTCGGAGCTAAATTATTCATTTTTTAACTCATTGTCTTTTTTTTAAATACTCAAGTTTACATAACAAGGCAAACGTTATCTCAACTATGCATGGTTATCTGAAACTGTAGGGTTCGAATACAATGGAAGATTCCTCGACGTTTTGAGCAAAAGCCCCTGGCTCGAGGGTTTGATGATACTCGTTCCACAAACTGCATGTGTGTAATAGCTTTTCTTGTCTTGTGAGTTGTGCATAAACTACAGGGTTTATTATTATTATTCTTATAAAAATTTCCAAACTAGCAGTAACAACTGAATTACTTTGGAATTACAAGGTATAAAAACATAGATATTCAATCTATTCTATATTTACATGTAAAAATAGGTAAATTAGATAAAAATTACGATAATAAACTAAAGTTTACTCATTATTATAAGCACGAGACGCAGCAGGAATGAAACTGATCGAAAAACGTTCAGTTCTACACCTAGGTACTAATAGGTTAGAATAAGACCTCAGATCATAAGTTTGAAGATTTTTAGGCGGTACTAAGGCATTCAGTTTATGAGTGCCGTTCCAACATCTTCGAAAAAAGGCGCTTGCAAAGAACTGTTCTACGTTCATGAAGAGTCATTAAGTTTGCTTTAAGCAAACATTCAGCATAGCCAAGGTAGCTCCAGGGAAAATAATTTTTAATGCCCTTTTTTGGATTTTTTCAACTTGATCACTCCGGTACTGAGGAAGGCCATAATGCCACACCTGACAAGCATATTCCACAATTGGTCGAATATGTGTACAATAGGTTGGGATCAGGATATGAGAAGGTAAAGCATTTCTTTTAAGACCCAGACCTTTAGAAATTAATCTATTGAGTATTGTTGTTAAAGTACAATATATTTTGCTCCTGAGTCCCGGTAATTAAAAATTTAATTCAATTGTGTTTTCTCACTCTTTATGAGTATTGTGTTCAGCGTAGTGCTTATAGCATTCAAATTATATCAATAGACAATAAGGATTATAAGGTTAATTTCTAAAGGTCTCGTTTTTTTATACACCCTGCAAGTACAGTGTGTATAAAAAAAGTATAGCTTTTCAAATTTAAATCAAGCATATCGCCTGCTTCGAACAAGTTAATATATAGCGACCCATAAAACAAAAGACTTTCTACTTCTATGATGGGACATGTACGAACAACTCAATGATATACCCTGTACTGTACAAGCAGCATTAAAATGAAGTTATAATTGATCTCCTTTGTAAATAAGACATGTCGTCGTCGCGTATCATTAACTCAAAGCATGATCAGTTGAGAACAACCAAATCGCTTATAATTATCGTTGATTTGAATTTGAAAGACCTATAGCCTATACTTTATTTTTATATACACACTGTATATCATTATGCCGATAAAATCTGAATACCGTTGCTGAAACGGATGTGATAAAGTCTTTATTTCTGAACTCATTCTTATTTTTAAATAGCAATTTTACATAACTAGGCAAACCGCGTTAATATCAGACTCTGCAACTGTAGGAGTTCAGTATTTGCCGCAGCGATGAATAATACTTTATGAATTATGGAGGATTTCACACACACAAAAAGATGTATTTGTCAACGTTTCGAAGGCCCTTCGTCACAAAAGCTTTTGAAACACTTCTGACGAATGGTTTGATGACACTCGTTCGACCGAAACATTTTAGTAAAACTGATATATTTTTCCTATCTTGCGCTTTAACTGTTTAAGACTAAGACTAAGAGTATAATATCATGATACCAATAATGAATAAAATCTGAATAGATGCATGTTGTTCAAACAAATGCGAGATCTTGACGTGACGGGGCTAAATTATTCATTCCTGAACTCATTCTCTTATTGAATAGCAAGTTTGCATATATATGAAGGCAATTAAACGTTATTTGAAATATTAAGGTAATAAGGGTCGAGTGTTGCACAAAAATTACTTCTCAAAGTTTTGAGCATGCAACGGCACTTCGTCAGTGTTTGTATTAAAGTGACAGTGGTTTAAAACCATTTTCATAGCAGGAATAGACTGACACGAGCAGATACTAAACAGACGCAAATTATTGTTCCAAAAGTTTGAATTCGATCATTTGAATAATTAATAATATATGAAATATAGAACATTACTAACTTCTTATTAACCGAGCGCGAGGTCGTTACAGAGAAAGATCGGACCGAGGTCTTTTTTGTACAGACCGAGCCCGTAGGGCGAGGTTTGTACAAAAAGACCGAGGTCCAATATTTCTCTGTAAAGACCGAGCAAGCGAGGTTAATAAAAAGTTTATCATATATGGCATTTATAGGCATTTATACTCGAAACAAACAAGAAATACATGACTTGAAATGCATATTAGTGGCGTGGTACACATTTGCTCGACTGAGAAAACAAAAATTACCAATGTATTCCTACCTTTCCACTCAAAACCATTCGCAGTTATCTTATTAATAACAAATTATACAATACGTCTTGATCTGCTTCTAAGACTAAGGCCCGTACTTCAGTATACAATGTTGCATAGTTTTTAAGCGAAATGAAGCTTTGCGCACTACATATACAGATGGAAAACAACCACGAAAACTTTGAGGAAATTAGAAAAATGTTTCTTCTTAATCTAAATACTTCTAAATTTTGCCTGTTTTGACTTTGACAATAATTTTTAGCAAAAGAGCACGGGAGTGGTCTCGCGAGAAAGTCGCGCGACACGCGTGTTTTACGATGAGGATTCACAAAGCGATATTTAGGAAACGCATGTTAATCATTAATGATGATATAGGCATGATGGATCTTAATTTGTTGATGCAAGTTGGTGCAAGAATTTGTAGGTTTTGGTATGTACAATTAAGGAGAAATGATGCTAAAAATAAGAAATAGTAGATTGACAGTTCAGCAGAAAAGGCGTAGGAATGTAGTCGTGTTCCTGAAGGTTTTGACACAAAACCTGGACGATGGACGTTGGACGATTTTTATTTAGTAAGTTATTTATTATTATTATAATATACTATTCTTATTATTTGTTATTAACCATTATTTATTTATTATTAATTATTAATATATAGTTTTACGAAGGACATATATAATCGCACTATAGTGCAGTATAAGACTCCGCCCACAAATTATTATAATCGCACTATAGTGCAGTATAAGACTCCGCCCACAAATTATTATTATTAATATTATTATTATTATTATTTGAACTTATTTAACCACGGTGCCCTTTCAGTAATCTGTTTTTCAAAGGGCCGTGCTTACAAAAATATTAAATGCTTAGAACTATACTAACACAATAATTATTTAAAAAATTAGCCTATATATATATATATATATATATATATATATATATATATATATATATATATATATATATATATATATATATATATATATATATATATATAAGCAAAAAATCGTTTTCTTATTTCAAGAAAAAAAAACTTGTTTCAAGAATTATTTTCTTAAGGTGGCTCGCTACAGTTTATAGAAATGTTGAAAATGCGTAAACTAGATCACCTTTTTGAAGAGATGATGCTCTTTACAAATCGAAATTTGCATATTATATATACAGCGACAATCAAACAGTCGAAAATTGCTCAGAAAAGTGACGTCACCACTGTTGCTATGGCAACAATGACGATTCAAGATGGCCGATATTTTGGCTTTGAACGCATTTTACTTTAAAAAAAGGTCGGTTACCTCATTTTTTATTTCAGAAAACATTTTGATCTAGTTTACGCATTTTCAACATTTCTATAAACTGTAGCGAGCCACCTTAAAACAAGAATTTTTTACTAGAACTTTTCTAACTGAGAAAATATTTCTTAAAATAAGAAAAAACATTTTCTTGTTTTAAGAAAAATATATCTCATTACAAGAAAATAATGAAACATTTTTCTAGTGCACTTTTTCTTAAAATAAGAAATTTTATTAGAACTAGAAAATTTTTCTTACATTAAGAAAACTTTTCTTAAATAATAATAAATTAAATCTTAAATAAAGAAAATATAACTTGTCAGTTTAAGAAAATATTTCTTAAAACAAGAAAATTTTTACTAGGGAGAATAGCGAGAAAAAATTCTAATTAAGAAAATATTTCTAGATGAATCATTTTCTTGTTTTAAGAAAATATATCTTGCCAATGAAATATTTATTATTTTAAGAATCTTTTTTCTTATCGAGAAAATCCGTTTCTCGTTTTAAGAAATAATTTCTTAAATTAAGAATTTTTTTCTTAATAAGAAAATTATTTTTTGCTATATATCTATGATGAATGCACTATAAAATACAACTTCTTACAAAATTTGGGTTGTAATAATAAAAATTTACAATTAATGAATATATAAATTGGACACTCCAGTCATTGAGTATTTAAACGAAGAGAAAGACTCATAGAAAATATATTCATATATTCTTCACAAAAATTTTATTTGGTTTAGGAAAGCCTAATTTACGATTGTTGCTTCTTAATGTACGTGCCATTATGGCACATGTTAAACTGTTTTAAATAAGTAGGGGTCATTCCTTTCAAAGACTTCAAACACTCATTAATAATTCATAAGCTTATTGCCAATATTGGCAAATCATGTAAACTACAACATGTCACGTGCAGTGGCTTTAAACCTGATGAAACACTCCTAATTGATATTCTTTATATAAAGAAGGCAGTATCTATTGTTATCGTGTCCTCATTAGTATTTTTTTTATATAAAGAATACTAATAAGGCGGTATATCTATTGAATTTGTATAGTCGTGTTTGAAGCCGTTTAATGAACTCGCAGGTCGTGTTTTATTAGGTCTAAAGCCACTCGCGCTGGGCGCTCGTGTCTTTAAACCTAATAAAACACTCCTGCTCGTTTTATATTAAACAGGCAGTACTTAAATTATGGTTACATAACCGGTTTTAACTTCCGGTTTTATATACGACACTGAGTTGTAAAGAGCTTTTCTGTAAGAACATTCTGTTCATTATCGCTGGTTGTTACGAGTCTTTTTTTCTCAGTTGACCGGCGGTGGCCTAATGCAAGTATTGTGTAAAGCGCTGGCATAATTGGCGAGAGCTGTTGCGCATACCTTCATGCTATTTGTCTATATCGAGTACGTGTGCAAGTTACGTCACCGTCGTCATGCTGGATGACATTGACAAAGGATTTTGCTTGTTTGCAATGGAAATATCATCCAACATGGCGAAAATCTCTTTGCACTTTGAATGCCATGGGACTGGTTGCATATCACCTTTTGGCAAAGCTAAATATCAAATACATGAACTAGGTAATAAAGTATAGAGGCAAAATTTAAACTTCCAACACAAAACAGGAACGACAGAGTTCCCGTTTGACTTTGTACACAAATGTATCATCATAATATCAAAAAATGTCTTATATTACATGTTAGGAGCAGCCAAGGACTCTGAACCCCATGCGGCACTGGTCAGCAGCATACTGGCTTGTAAGTGCATTTAGTTGTTTCTTGGTGTACAAATTACAGATGTAAAAGCAGAACTAATCCAACTTTTTATATAGTTTTTTTTTATTTCAATAACTTGGCCATGTGGTCTGATCATGTGACCTGATTGACCAATGGCAATAAACGTGTAACTTGATACAATTTAATTTTAAAGAGAAAACAGAAATATTTTCCCCTTTGAATACTGGATTGCTTTTCTAATTTTTATTTTCATTATCAAATACTTATAATGTTAGTAGCAAAATTAGGAATTTGCTTTATTCAATCAAAGTATTAAACTAAATTAATTATTATATTTTTTTACTTATTCTGATATACCCTGTATAGTTTCCTTGATCGAATCCAATAATTTCTCCTCCATTTGTTATTAAAGTAAAATGGAATGTTTAACCATTTCCCTTTGTTTATAAACTGCCCCACACTCAAGTAACCACAAAGACGCAACATCTGTGTGTCAAAAACAAAGTTCGATGGGAAAACCAGTCAATGGCTGCCAGCAACGTAGCATGCTAAATGTTTTGAAAAAGCCTTTTATGCATGTACTCAGCAACTTAAAACAAAATCACACTGCCTTACCATATAATAAAAATGCTATGTTTACCTGGGCAGTTCTCGGGCAGTAATTAGTAGGACCCTTATGGAAATCTACACACCATTTTTCAAGTTGTAAAAAACTGCAAATAATTTCCAAAGAATCTGCACAAAATTCCTTTGTGAACCAAGAACCAAGCATATTTCTAATCTTCCAATTTGACAAAAACACTTTCTGTCTGCAAGATCCCTTTGTCTGCCATACATTTTCTGTGAAAATATTTTAAAGACCATGTATGAAGTCTGCTCAGCGCATACATTCTGCGCAGGCTTACATTTCAATGGTCAGGACCCGACCGTTGGAATGTTTTTAATATTTCGTACCTTTTGAACTTTCAGTTGAATTGAATCTCTAGTCTGTATTCATTTACAAGCATAGCAAACCAGAAGAGTGTTAAAAATTCAGTATAATATATATCTAATCATATTTTACAACTGTAGCAAAATGTAAACAAAGCGCTTATTTACATTACAGACTTTACATGGTCTTTAAGTTTGGGCATATCCGCATACGGTCATGGTAAAAACACTATATATGTGTTTTAATAGCGTGACAATTAAATGTTGTTCAGTTGGGGGTTTAAGTACAAAATGTAAACCCACATGAAAAAAGTTTCCACATCACCATTCACCATTTGTTTGCAAATGCCGGATGGTAGTGAAAACCAAAATGTATGACAAAGCCTACACAATTCTATTATGAAACTAGTTTTAAAGATGCGGTACAGTCCGATCTGCACAAAGGAGCATTCTTTTTGTTTACAAACAGTTAGGTTTTTATTTCATTTTATATGTTCTTGCAAAGCTTGATTGTTGTGTCTTCATAATTTATTATACTCTAGAATCATGAAAATATAAATAGTTGTCGAATAAAATTCAATATTTTGGATACCGAAATGTAAACAAAGCCTTTGTTTACATAACGGACTGTACCGCATATTTTAAGCCTACACAAGTTTATATTAGTACTTAGTACACTCCTTGGGTCATTTAAAACAAATATTTTCAGGGTACGGCAAACCTTTTAAAGTATTTCTTCATTTGATATAGTAAGAATAGGATCTAAAATTTCCTCGGCTGTATTAATAGAGCGATAAACGTCTTCCGAACAACTAATAATTTCACCAGCAAACTTGTTCTTTCCACTTTCGAGGCAGCCATCTTGGTTTTACTCTTCATCCGCGCGTAGACTAAAGAAGCCTGAGACGAGTTACGCAATTTATTCTGCTTTGCGCGTGCGCAGTGGACGTCTTGCAACGTCAACAAATTTGACAATGACGAAAGTGTGGGAGTTTTTGTTTTTATTCGTAAATTTGTCAACGTCACCTAACCCAACGTTTAATAACTTACGCATAAAAATAACCTGTCAAAAGCATTTAAAAAGCCCAACGCAACTTCATTTGATTCAAAACTGAGTTCATCGACAATTAGTTGACACGCAAATGAGATTGGGTTTTATTGACTCTAAGAAGTGCATTCGGAGCTTCAGATTACTAGCTAATATACCTACAGATAAGATACGATTTTAAGAAAAAGCAGGTAAAGCAAAACAATGGGTCTGATATTTTCAAAATTGGTTCAAGCGTACGAGAGTTTTGGCACACGGGAAGCAAGAATCTTAATGGTTGGATTAGATGCAGCAGGGAAGACTACGATACTTTATAAACTTAAGTTGAATGAGACGGTCACGACAATTCCAACAATCGGCTTTAATGTTGAGACTGTTTCGCCAAGCAAGAACATTACGTTTACAGTTTGGGATGTTGGCGGACAGGTATGTATGGCAATCCATTCATATATTTCCAATACAAGGTCAAGGTCAAGCAAGGGTGCGAGTTGATGAGAGTTGACAAGCGAGAGTTTTCGTTTTTCTCATTTGCATGACGCCATGAGAGTTTTCCAATATCTTGTACTCCGGTCAAACGTTATAACAAGAGTTGCATGAGAGTCGACGCGAGTTGACGGGACTTAGTGCCCCGCACGGCGTAGCGAAAACTAGTGATAAGAGATTGAGAGTCCAATAGACTAATCGGAGTCAATGAAAGTTGGCGTTCAAACGCAAGCGAGAGGAGTAGTGTAACTCTCACCAACTCTAGATCTCATCCTCGTTTGAAGACTAGCTTGGATAGGGGAAGTTAATAGTCAACGCGTTTGTATATATAATTTAGCTTACTATAGTAACTGAGCTATAGCTTGCCGGTGTAACTGATAAATACGAAATGCTAATTGTTGAATCTTCCCTGCTCTTTGTATTTTTTAAATATCGGGTATTAAGATCAAACTTCTTAGTTTCGGCGGAGATTTTTTCTGACTTTTATTTTTTCATTAGTACTGAGTTAGTCAAGAAAGTTAGGAATCACCGATAGTTCATCTTGACGGATAATCTGCGTCTTTTTCCTGCGTATAGGTTTTTACACAGGTCTCTCTGCGGCCCTCTGCCCTAGTTCATGTCCGGCAAGTATCATCATATGTGCTCTCTCCTCCGCTCGTGTTCCAAGATCCGCCATGTAAAGTGTAGTGAAATCTATTCAATATTAATCGTATAAATCATAGCCAACTAAAGCCCCTGCGGAGGAGACAGTCATGCAACCGTGTCTGATGAAAGCGTGCTAATCTGCATGATGCTGTGACTGATATAAAGCGTGCTATAATCACCTGATGCCGTGTCTGATATAAAGCGTGCTAATCTGTCCAATGTCTTATATATAGGCACGTGACAATTATCCGATGCCCTCTTTAAAAAAATCGAGTTGAAAATATTTCTAATTTATATTTATTTGCGTCTTTAGGATAAAATCCGCCCACTATGGAGACATTATTTCCAAGGAACCGAAGGTCTGATTTACGTCGTAGACAGCAACGACCCTTCAAGGATGGAGGAATCACGAAATGAATTTCAAGGAGTTTTGACGGATCTTGATAGTGACCGCATTCCTGTCTTGGTTCTGGCGAACAAGCAAGACCTGCCTCACGCTATAAAGACTAACGATGTTGCGCAGAAACTGGGACTACATCAAATGCGAAGACCGTGGCACGTGCAGGGTACCTGCGCGCTGAGTGGCGATGGCCTCTACGAAGGACTGGATGCATTTGGAAAGATGGTGAAAGAATTCCAACAGAGCAAACCAAGTTCGAGATTTTAAACTGAAGTTGGCAGATGCATATGAAGTTTTTGAAACTGAAGCTGACAGACGTATTACAGAATATTAACATTTGTATCAAAATTTGCACCTTATTTATTATCACATAAATTATAACGCTTCAATGACAATGTCACTCAATATGTAGTAATCAATAAAATATAATGTAAAATGGCTGAAATTTAATTTCATATGGGAGTACAAACACTGGTCTAACGGCCACAATCACAATCTAGTTTTGCACAGGATTAGGATTTGATTATTGGAATGGGAATAGAAAATCAAAATCGAGAAACATTTTGTATATCATTATATTTATTAAAATGTAAACCTTGAGTAAAAGTTACTCCATGCACGTGGTTACTAAGGCGACGTAACATAAAGCACGAATAGCAACAGAGTGAAGACTGAAATATCAGGATTTTTCGCATCTAACTCGATATAATTAATTGTCGAAGGAATTTTGTAGACTGAAGTTTGGAGTAAAATTTTTATACATTTATTAGGTTAGAGCTTGACAACTGTCTCTAGCTCAGTTGGTTAGAGCGCCGCACTGGAATCGCAGGTTCAGAGGGCCGATAGTTGCATTTTTCGCAACAGCTAGTCTGGTTAGGTCTAATAAATGCATAAAAATTCCACTCGAAATTTCCATCCACAAATCCCTTCAACTGAAGACTGAAATTTTTATGATTGTATATAATCGTATTTATAAATTAATAATAAAACCTTTTAAAAGTTGTAACTCGTGAAGTAATGCGGTGAGTCACGCAATAAAACTGTTGGGTTAATTCAGCGCACCCAACAACCTCGTACCCAGGCTATTACCATTACCGTCGCTCAGGTAATAGCCTGGGTACGAGGTTGCGCACCCAAGCGCCATTCTCATAACCGGATACCATAAAAACATGGTAAGAAAACAATATCCTGTGTTAGAACTAGCCAATCAGATGCCAGTTCGGAATATGGATTTGGCCAGAGCCCCTCGTCGCACCGCGCGTAAGAAGGGCTCTGGGTACGAGAATGACCCAAGCGCTTGAAAGAAAATTTGGTTGAGCGGACATCACGTTGCCAACCTCGTTCCCCGAGCCTGCGATCCTCGGGAAGGAACGTGAGGCTCTGGGATAATCCGTTTCAGGGAGAATCTGATTGGCCGTTGATATGGAATGCGCAGTTCGGTCTTAGCCAGGATTCCTGGCTTCCGGCAACGGATTATCCCAGAGCCTCAGGCTCGGGGAACGAGATTGTCACGTTGCTTGAAAGAAAGAAGGCCGAAAGTGTCTTTCTATATCTATTTTATAAACAATTTCTGCAAATCCATGTTACCATAACTAGAACGAACTTAGTCATCAATGTACAGTGTGAACAGTGAAATCAAATTGACAACAAACGCGAAACCACGCTAGTATAGTAGCACGTATAATTCAATGTTTTTATCGGAAAATGGAATTTCAATCAATTTCTGCGTTTCGCGCGCTTTCCCGCCATATTGCCATAGTAACACGAGGCACGTGATTTGTAGCGTGTTGTTTACATAGGTTGTTTACGTTTGCATATAAAGAGAATGCAACAAATGTTTCAATTTGCAAAATGGTGACTGTATACACTCAATACAGAAAGCATTTTAAGGGACCACGTTGGGACGATTTTGCAATAAGCGAGTACAATAGGAAGAGAGATTATCGCATAGGACGTAGGAGTGTTGAACACAGACATCAGCCTTTGGAATGGGACAGCTCAGAAAGCGAAAATAGCGATGTTGATTTCGAAGCAAAACGCGAGACAAAAACACAGTCACAGAGAGCTGGAATTTCTCATTTATCTGACGAAAAGCGGGCAAGAAAGAAGGATATTGCAAATGAAAATTTAGCAGGAAAAAGGTTAAATGAAGTGGATAAACCGCCTATACATGTAAAGACTGTAAAACAAGCATGGGGGACAGAACATGACGAGCGTTTTAATGACGAAATGGCTGCACAATCTACCCATAGAAAGCATTCAAAGCATCGTCGAAGTAAACGAAAGAAGAGAGGGAAATGTAAAACTGAAGAAGAGGGGGAAAGTTTGGTGAATGATAGGGAAGGACAAAACGAAAGAGTGCCTTTTGTTTCCTATGGCTGGGCTAATGATGCTCCTATTGAGAAGAAATATACTCATAATGTCAGAGCAGATGCAAAAGATGTGAGTGGAGTAGGTTTAAAGTTAGCGGGTGGGTGGGTAATGTGTGTAGGTGGGTAGTGTGTGTAGGTGCATGCCTGAATATGAACTTTGTAAACTGTGCATAAAATATTTTTACTATTGAAATCTGTGTGCAAGTGTATTATATACAGTATATAGTCTGTCAAACTTTGCTATATAGTGAAACTTTGGTATACTGTGTCTTGACAATACATTTTGTCATGTAAGTACAGTACCCATCGGTATGGTGACCCTGTTAATATGGCCACATTTGTGTGGCCCATTCTAGACCATATCTAACCGAATACATGCTTCCAGAGAGTATGTCACCTGGGCTATATAGCCTTGATTTCATGATTGAGACGTTAAGCTTTATTAATTACTAATGTCACATACACAAAAATAAGGCTCTATAGCCAAAGTGACGTACTTTGCGGAAGACTGTATTGCAATGTAATTTGTCACATACAAGACAAAGTGTGCAACTTCAGGCATTAGTATTAAAAATAACTTGGTTGACAATCATTAACCCATTAAGCACCATCACTCTCACCTTGACTAGAGTAAAATCATTTGGTGTTAGACAGAGTAATTAACTCATTAATTAATTAGCCATTACTCCATAAGACAGAGTAATGTAATAAAGTAGGGTGCATCAGGGCACAATGTGACTTTAATGGGTTCACAACTAATCATTTTCCCTTGATAGACAACCATTAATAACCAACAATTTGCCCTTGATTAATAAATTATCTGGCCAATATAGACAGAGTAAAGATATAACAAGGATGTATTAAGGTCCATTGAAGCTCAATAATTATATCAGTCTGCTCCTCCAGCAATTAATTATGAAATAGTCAGGGCCATACACAGCAGGGGCACCTGTGCCCCCCTCCCAAAGCAAAAATTTAGCTTACTAATTTTATATTGATATTTGGGTATATACTTGTTTTGGCAGATAGGCATTACTGCCCCTGGTGAAAAAACCTGTGTACAGCCCTGGAAATAGTTTGTGTAGTTTAGGTTTTTCCTGCAATAATACTGCACTCAGTACATATAAGACATAACTCTTAATTACTTCACTGCTATAAGCAGAACAGTTTATAATCTAATATAAAGATAGATTAATTAAAATTTCAAAAGTTCATACCTTTCAATTCATTGAAACACCCTGCTATATGTTGAACCTCGATCTTTCCACATTTCTATTCCAAGTTTACACACCTGATGCAGTCCTAGAGTTGCAAGCTTAAAACAGTACCACTGGCCAACAATGTATAAAGCAAGTCAGTAACAATCGTATTTTTCTCTATGGCTTTCTTACAGGTTTATCCTGCCTCGTTAAGGGCATTGAAACGGCGTGAACTTGACATTGCCAGGAGGTTGGAAGAGAATAAAAAGAAAACACAGCTTGAACGTGAAATAATCAGGGAAAAGTTCTTTGACCTTAGCCACATATCACCAATGTTTATGACAGAATACCAGAGCAGTTACTGCAATATGGGTGGTGAAAAAACTGGATATGTTTGGTGAAAATGGTTATAGAGTTGTTGTTCCAGCTCAAACTAAAATGCTTTGCTTGGGACTGTAATTTTAGTGACTCTATATGTGTGTAAGTGTGATATGATGGCAAGCAAGCTTGAGCCAGATGTGTGGTACATAGTCAAATAGTGCAACAAGCATGGCTCATTAGCCGATTAGAGTGCTTTGTAGCTTAAATTAACAGGTTAATATGAGATGAGTAGCAGTTCACTTCAAATCACTTCTGTTCCCTTGAGAAGTAAATCGTAAATAAAATAGCAGAGCACCTTGCCGCTAATGGGGTCAAGGCCCTATGGTAAGCGTGCATGACAACATTTAAAGTTTCTGTGCAATACATTTAATGCCTATTAATTACATTCTGTAGTGTTGGATGTTACAAATCATGTTACAAATTCTCAATCTTGCATGCCTGGCTTGCTTGGTTAACAACTTCCTATTTCTGGCTTGGAAAACACTCTGGCTTTATAAATTCTGCTAAAAAAAACCTGGCTCGCTTATTAAACTTAAAGATCCAAGGCTAACCACCAAGGTTGCTTGGGATTTTTTCCCTGCAATCAAATTCTGCCTGCCAATCTAAAGGCGATGCCTATGGCCGAGGCAGTCTGTTTGAAACTACTTTTTGTACCGTAGTTAAATTGTGATTAATTTCTAACTTCAATCAATACCCCCATCACATCAATTTGTGGCCAAATCATCAAGTGGCCAAAATTCAAGCATTCTTTTCCTCGAAAGTATATTTTAAATTTGACAGCAACCGATATAATGTTTTGTAATATATATGCAGGTGGAATAGGTTGGGTTACAGTTTATTTAAATTTGATGCTTTCAATAACAACTATATTCAAATCAATTTAGTATACCCACTGTACGTCTTTACGAACTTGATTTAGTGTATACGATCGATCGGTACATTGGTAGTGCATCTCAAAGTTATGCAAAAGTCAATATCTCTAAAACGAGATGCCACAAGTGAAATAACGGCCGAAAGAGCAACCCTCTTCTTCCGCATGTATGTTATCGCACAGGTGCAATCTCCGAGTACCAGACCCTCACCCCTAACCGGTGCATTGATCCCCTTACCCTAACTTGTGGTCGACCGTCGACGGGTAACTGTGCCACCCCGGACTAACTACCTCCCTTTCAAGGCCATTACGGAAGAGACTGTGTTGGAAAGTAATTAATATTTAAATTCGTTGTCGTATTTGATTAAATGCGTACCAGGTAATGTACTATATACTATAGCACAAAAATTACGTTATTCTGAAATAAATTGTACTTTTATTTAATTACATGAACTTCAAAATGATTGAATGTCCTCTACAATTTATGGGAAGTGCTACAATTACTGTATCAACTTTGGGGCAGAGTTTCAATTATTGGAACTGTAGTGATGTTGAAGTTAGTTTGGTGCAAATACCTATTTTCTAGGTTTTAAAGGTGATTTTTGCTACAGATCTGCAAACCGACATCAGGATGCGTTCGCACTGCTTGTTCCCAGTTCTTGTGACAAGTCGGGAACAAGTTGTTATGTATCCCCTTGTTACAAGGTTGATGTCGGTAACAAACTCGCTACAAGTTGTTCCAACAAGACTAATGCAGGCTGTTCATAACAATTAAGTTGCTACGAGCTTGTTGTCATCAAATTGTGATATCAGACTTGTTTGATGATATCAGACTTGTTTGAACAACTTGTTGCGAGTCTGTTGGCTACATCAACTTTGTTACACGATGATAACAACTTGTTCCTGACTTGTGCACAACTGGGAACAAGCAGTACGAGCACATCTTGTTGACAAGCTGCTTTGTGAGATTTGTACGCCTGTCAGGAGGCTGAAAAAAATCCTATTCTATCATTTTTTAAAACTTCTTTCGAATAAAAGTACTGTCTAATATGAATAACGTAATTTTCGTTTTAGATATCTTAATTGATAAAAATTTCGATTCTTATTAAATGCTATGAAAATGGGTCTTAAATACTCTACTACGGACATTCTATGCCTGGCTTTGAGAAATTTACAGTAGTGATTCATTGTTTTGCTAACATGGACATTTTCCACCATCAGCATTCCGTGGTTGTAGAGTTCTACGTCTTGATGGGTCGCCATATTGAATTCCTGATCCCATTCTGTCGGGATCAAGGTCACCTGGAAAGGGAAGGATGCACTTTTAATATTAGAGAGGTTCACAGGACTTCCACTACCTCCTACCAGATTAATACGCATTTCATTGGTTAATCGATTAGATCAAACGTATCCGATTGGTTACGAGCTTTCGCTCGAAACGTCAAAGTTTTACTGTCTTGTATTTTTCAGGTGGTGGGCCCCTAACCATGATGTCATTATATGGGCAAACACATTTAAAATAAGAGAATGAGTAAATACTACCACAAATAATCTGGGGCCAGTTGTTCAAAGCTGGGTTAGCCTAACCCTAGGTTAATCTAAAATGCAAAGCAAACTTCCTGACGGCTTGTCTATGATTTTGGAAATATTTCTTCAGAGATCTTGTCTGGATCGATACTTAGGAGTTTACTTCTCTGAAGTTTTGTAATAATCAGACGTGCAGAAATACACAAACTAAAACAGCAGGTTAAATTTTAACCCAGGGTTAGCGCTAACCCACCTTTGAACAACCGGCCCCTGGTTACCTCCGCCAGGAGGTTATGTAATCATCTGGGTTTGTATGTGTGTATGTGTGTGTGTGTGTGTGTGTGTGTTTGTCTGTGAGCACGATAACTCAAGAAATACCAAACATATTCATACGAAATTTTTTGAATGCATTTCCCATTGGCTAAGGAAGAACTGATTAAAATTTGGTTGAATTTGGTTAAAAATTGAACGAGAAATGAACAAAATTTTGTCTTGCTTTTAGGACGTGTATAATGTATGCACGCAGTACTAAGACAATAATGAGATGATAAACCTCATTAAGCTTCAACCCTCATTATCTATTGTCTTAGTTGCATTTCACGCGACCGAAATTCAATAGGGGCGGAGGTATGCAGTCTCTGAGTGCCCTCTAGTTAATATATGTTATAGAGCTGTGCGGTTCCAAAATTTTTATCTCGGTTCCGGTTTCGGGTTTTTTGGAACAAAAAAACCTCGGTTCGGTTTCGGTTATTTTCAAAAAAGAAGAACAGTACAAATGTATGAACTCATTTATGTATGTTTCGAGCATTTTTACTAAATAGATGAATTTATGCCTTTGTAAGTTTGTATAAATCTCTGAATATTTTAAAAGAACTGTTGGAATTTATTTATGAAGATGAAATATTTCTTAGTTTTTAAAAAAATTTAAAGCAAGTTCACAACAATAACTATCACAACTAAAATATCAACTATTTGAGCACTTAGTACAGTGCATATTGTGCACAAAGAGCACAATCTTGTTATTTTCCAAACATTTCAACCTGCAATCAGGTGGGCGTTTGGCGGGCGTTAAACGGGAAATTAAAACCGAAACTACCGGTTCTTTTGCGTATAATTTTTCGGTGCTGAAAAAAGTACCGGAAGAACCGAATTTTTCGGTTAACCGCACAGCTCTAATATCCAGGTGATCTCGTGTCCGTATTTTAGCCAATCAGCGCTCAGAAAGGGTTGTCCGAATAGAAATCCATTTTGATGTATTCAGTCAATTATATCTTTCGTTATTCTTTATGAAACTAGTTGAAATTTTGTAATTAAGTTTGGTTATAAGAACTATAGCTCTGACAAAAATATGGAATCGAAATAAAGTATATTACAGGAGATATTCAGTTGTTTTAATCATAAAATGGATTTCTATTTGACAACTAGTGCCAGTACTTTTCCGCGTATCAAGATCATCTGGATGTTAACACCTATTTACGTACCCAGGTTTTACCACTGGGTTTTACCCACCTGCGATTCTTCCACAAGCAGGAAACAAATAAAAGTGTTGACAATATAAATGGCGGTTTTAATCGAACACAATTATAGTAAAAAGAAATGAAAACAGACCTGTTTCAATTTTGTTTAATATTGTTCTTGAACATTTCAGGAAAGATTCCTCAACATTTTCACCAGTTAAAGCACTTGACTCTAAAAACATCAGTTCTACGAAAAATATGAGAAATTTGCTGAATGGTGACAACGGTTTTATATTTGTCAAGATTAACCATAGTGTACAAATTATTTAAAAATGTGTAGGAATAGTTAATGTAAATAGTTCAAAAACTCATTAATAATTCATGAGGAAAACACAAAGAAAAATCATAAGCGTGTCGTATCTTTATATGTGATAAAGATTTCCCTTCATTTACATAAACTTTAACTTTGATTTTCTCAGCTAATACAAAGTTATTTTGCAAAATTATTTCGCCAATGCCGTGATCTAACTGAGACGTTTTTGAAGCTGTTTAATAAACTCGTAGTTCGTGTTTTATCACATATAAAACACTCCGCTACGCGTCGTATTTTATATGTGATAAAACACTCCTACTCGTTTATTAAACATTACGTAAACAGCTTTATTTCTAGATTCCTCAACATTTTCACCAGTTAAAGCACTTGTCTCTAAAAACATCAGTTCTACGAAAAATATGAGAAATTTGCTGAATGGTTTTATATTTTTTTAAGATTAATCATAGTGTACAAATTATTTAAAAATGTGTAGGAATAGTTAATGTAAATAGGTAAACAGCTTTATCTCTAGCTTAATAACATGACATAATAATTACCATTTTCTTGTGCAAAACGACTCGCCTCCATAAAGGTGACTTCTCTTTCAGCATCCAAATCTTTCTTATTTCCAACCAAAATAATCACAATATTTGGACTGGCTAAAGTTCTTGCATCTGTTAACCAGTTTGTCAAAGCATTGTACGTCTCACGACTGAGAGAAAATGATATGAAAAAGTACAGTCTTAATTTAATGAAAACTGCAGACTGGTTTCTGTTGTGTGTGGTACAACTCGTCTCAAAAGAGTGTATTGCACTCATTGTTCATTGGAAAATACGAAAGAGGACTTTTTCCATACATTTAGTGCCATGGTAATGGGCGGTTTCTATCTTCTCTGTTTATATTTTGTCTTATTTTCCATACTTTAAACACAACATATAACTGTATTATAAAAACATACAAAGAATCACAATATGTTAGAAAGTAGCCTGCTCACAGCCCCACCCGAAAACCAAATTTCCAGTTTTCCTTTGAACGAAATTTCAGGCTGCCAGCAGGCTAGTTAGAAAGTCCATTGGCTGATTCCTTGCCAGCCGTGACTCATTGGTAGTTTCATATCTAAAACTTTGGTTTTGGATCCGAACAAATTTAAAAAATTATAGTATATATCTGGTTAAATTACAGTATAATTACAGGTATAATACTATAATAGTTTAGCACAGTAGTTATTTTAGTGTGGATATTGGGATACAGCATATTTCAGGCCTTGAATAGTACATGTTACCTGGCAATATCATAAACGAGAAGTGCTCCAGCTGCCCCTCTGTAATAACTTCTGGTCACTGACCTACATGTGGTGTAAGATAAGGAGTTGAAATTAGTGTTTATAACAGGGCTGCTGGGGACTATATATTATATATTATACATGACATGTACAGTACATGTATATACTGTAGGGGACAAATACAATCATATAAGTTAACTTGTTTAAAACAGAAAACACTTTGCCCTTGACAAGTAAGACTGGTAAAATTAAAGTAAAATTACAAACTAGGAATAATTAGTGGATATATTGCAACTTAATTGGGAAAGAATTGACATTGGCATATACAGTTATAGTTTTGTAAACACATAATGCCCATTTTTTCAATTAGTAAGACAATCCAGGGCTTGAAATAAGGTTCCCAAGGTTCCCGAAGTAGATGGCGATTCATGACTTTGGTTAAAAACCTTGTTTTTCCATTGATCATTTATAAGATTGGCTGTTATTGCAAGCCCTGTGATCTGAGTGCCGGCGTTTTTCCCTTGACAAGTAACATTGTGTTAGAAAGAACAATATAACAAAGTAGGGCACATTTAATAGGGTGCCTTGACCATTTTTCTGCACAATTTTCGGTCTTGGCGACTATTCTAAAGGCAATCCAGGTATAGTAAGTATACCCCATGACCCATAGATTCACAGTTGCAGGACTATGTCAGAGCAAGCGCCTTTCGCCTCTGAGATTGTGGGTTCAATTCTCGCTGCGGACTCATGTGAAAAGAGTCTGTCAACACTCGGCCAAAAGTTGTGGGTTTTCTCCGGGCGCTCCAGTTTCCTCCCACAGGGAAAGTTGTCAGGGTGGGTTAGGATATAAACATAGTTAGGAAAGTAATATCACGATTGTTGTAAAGATAAATAGTCTAGGCTAAGTAAGTAACATGAGTAAGCGTAATACTTGATGTAATCGGTCACCGAAATGCCCCAATGGGGAGTGAGCTGAATAATAATGTAATTCACCTGAAGCGTTCCTGGCCAGCCGTATCCCAGATCTGTAATTTCACGGACTTTCCTCCAACATTGATTATCCTACTGCCAAACTCCACACCAATTGTATGACTTGAATCTTGTTTAACTACAATATTACAATGCAATATTTTATAATTTCATCTGTATTACCATATATCTTTTTAGGCTGATAAAAAGATATATATCTTATTAGGCTGATTTTTAGGCAAAATAATGATATTTGACAATCAATTAAATCTCCATTTCTTCAGCAATTATTGTCCGGGAAAGTTTAGAAAACATGTGTGTGATTGCAATAAATTGCAAATTAAAGTAAGGTTGCAAGTGTGTGGGCAATTTAAAAGGTGTAAACAGAGTAAGTGTGATCATAGAAGACCACCACCCACACCAGTTTCATGCAACTTTGTTCTTTGCTGTTTGTGCATGATGCGGTATACATGCAAGTTGATTAAACTATGTTTTCTAATTTGCATAATTTAATGTAGTCAATATTATTGTTCTATATGAATTTTTTTAACATTTTAAGTGGCAAATGCACCCAGATATGCGCCACTTTATTATTTCACTCTGTCTAACGCCAGATAATTTTACTCAGGGGAAGAGTGCTGCCACTCAATGGGTTAATATTGCACCAGCCTAGATCTTTTACTCCTCTCTTTTGATTCTCCGGGTAAGCTCAATGGCATTGGGGAGTGTCTATATTAGGCAGTTGCGATATATCGATATTTTCGATAAATATCGATATTTTAAAAATATCGATATTCAATTTTTCGCATATCGAAAATATCGAAAGTTGTAACTATCTTAATCTCCGATTATTCGGTAATTATTGTTTTCACCGGTGAAGTTTAGACAACGTGCGTATGGCGGCAATTGCGAATTTATGATACAAGTGCATGGGCAATTGAAATTAAAAACGAAACCAGAGAAACTGTGACCACAGAAGACCACCAAGCAGTGGCATTGAACACTTGAAAACAACAGTTTTGTGATGACTCATAAAGATGGAATTCGCAAGATGCCTGAAGAGACCGTAGAGGAACCCAGTAACCAGCCACCACCTAGTAAGAAAGCTAAGAAGACCCTTTACTCTCTCACAAGTACGAGGAAGATCAAACAGTCATCGTCGCCAGCCCAGTCACCATAAGATCGTGTGGCAAACAAAAATTGCCCGATATTTGCAATTTCCAACGATCGATGGGAAATTATGCAACCCACTCCAGTTGTGGAAATTTCATGAGAATGATTTTCCACTCCTGTCGCAGTATGGCCGACTAAATCTGGCGATTCCGGCGAACAGTGCTTCAACTGAAAGACTTTTTAGCAAAGCAGGACAGATAGTTACAGTACGGCAAAGCGAGTATACCTCAAGCCAAGTCTGGAAAACATGTTAGTGTTTCTCGCAGAAAATTTATAAACATTAATTATATACATTAAATAAACAATCGTACTGTGAAACCATTAGGCTTGTAAATATATCTTTAAACTTTTATAAACGAATAAACCATTGTTAATAAATCTTTGAGACGTACCATGACTGGTTTCATGCACTTCTTTTTAACTGTTTGTGATGTGTATACATGCAAGTTGACTAAATTATGTTTTCTCATTTGCATAATTCGATCGATATAGTCGATATTATTTTATTTATTTTTTTTTTCAATATCAATATATCGATTTTTTTCAATATCGCAACTGCCTAGTTCCTATTAATTAAACAGGTTTATATTAAAATATCAATTTGGCATTTTTATGTAAATATAACAAAAGCAAACAAGGTGGGGCAGCTGAAAAATTATTTAAGTTAGGCAAAAAGATGGGGGAAATAATTTTAGGGCCATTCCAAAAAAATCCACACCCTCCCTATGGACAAGCTCAGTAAAATGTGAACCCCCAAGAAAAAATAGATCAAAGTGCCGACGCACACACCCCTCAGAAATTGGTAAATTTTTGCATTACCCCTTAGAAAAAACGCTAAGATCAAAGCATGCTGATGGCCAAATGGCTTTTTGAACCCCCTCAGAAATTCTCGTCCATGGGGGGGGAGGGGTGTGGACATTAAATGGAATGGCTCTTAAAAGCAAGAAATATATAAGATATTAATGGTTGGACAATTATGCAAGAAATAAGTAATGTTGCCAAAAATTTCAAGCCTTTCAAAAATGTTTGCACCCTCCCCCTCCCTTGGCAAGAGAATAGAAAATAGTATAGAGCACTATAGCCTCCTAAGTGGCCATCTAATAACATTACACTTGTAACTATTATGCCCAATAAACGAAATGAAAGTGTTTCGTATTATGCCGTCTGATCTATACTGAATTCTTCACAAAATATACATTCCATCTTACATTTCCCCTCAATAAATTGATGCAACAAGCAACTTTTTCCAGTACCAGCACTACCGATAACTAAAAACTTGAAGAGGAAATCTAAAAATTCAAAAGCACAAATTCTGTAAAGTCTGGATTTAAGAAATACGACACCAAAATAAGCACATGCACATGACAAATTGAGGACATTTTAGCTTCCATACCATATGTTTCTGACATTGCCAGCGAAGTTATCCAGCCTTAAAGCGTTGTTAAAACACGGGGAAGTATTCCTGTTGTCTTAAATTGTCAAAATTGTGGAAAGTTTTGAAATAAATATAAATTGATAGCTGCGATATTTTCACAACTTGCTGCGAAGGCTCACGGGTAAAATTCTCAATTCTCGAAACAAATGCTTCCACTTTGAAAAATTACATTTCAAATAAGTTTCATTTTTAAGAAATGGAAAGAAATGGACCCAATGGACCTTTTCTTCCGAAAACGTGGACATCTTGAATCGTCATGCATTATGGGGTCTTGGGTCTTCCCTGGATCTTCCTCAGTGATCTTCCTTTTAATAATCAGTGAGCTCTATATAAACTGGATAGTCAAAAGCTTGCTGTTCAAAAGCTGCAAAAATCTCGAAGCAATCTTCCCAACAACCTGATTAGAAACACGAAAATAGTTTTCCACAATTCACGCGGATTGCCTGAATCAATAGAATTTTTATTTTCCAAAGTTTTGAAATACACAGAAGTGCGAATGTACCCAAACCAAAACAGCGGGTTAAATTTTAACCCATATCAGGGTTGGCACTAATCTAGATTTGAACATCGGTCCCTGAAGGTTATCTAATGACGGAAACCAATATAAACATTGACCTGCCCCATCCAAAAATTTGTGTTTCTCTGATCTTTAGAATGCTATTTCTAGCATTAGAAAATGACAACATCGAGGTAAAAATTGGAATTAAGGCATACGCTCTTGAAACATACTTCTTTCTTCACCCTCTTTTCCCATATGTTTTTCAATTGGATCAAGAAGAAATGGAAAAGAATAGAAAACTTGCAGTCATATTCAAAGATTCAAAGAACAGAATTTGAGAAATAAAAATGATTTTCCTGAAATACCAATACCATGAAATTTGTCAAAGTCCAGCTGTGAGACCTGGAGTTCAGCCACAAAACCTGGAGACTAGCTCACGGGTAAACCATTAGACTTTGCAGCTCTGCTGCCTCGATCTGACAAGTAAGACTGGGCAGTGTTAATAAAGGCAGACTGGACCTGCGAAAACGAAGCTCTATTACCAAGGTATCCTTCCGAAGGGTGTATTAAATCGTGCTAATTAAGCCTGATCAGAAGAATAACTCTATGCGCTTCCTAAAAGCTAAGATCTATTTTCTCACAGTGAATAAAATTACATAATCGTGCACCGATCTACATCAAATTAACTATTGTCTATAAATTAAAGTAAATAAAACTGAAAGTCCATGTGTCCTTGAAATTTTGAAGGTACATCGAGGGATGTTCAGGGATGCTTATGATCATTTGGAGAAAGGTGGGAATGATGTAGGATAAGGGGGGATCGTGGTAGGTGGTAGTGTAGTTGTTGGCGTACAGCTGAAATTGTCCCAAGAGATCACGTGATAATCATCGGTACAGTATGTTCCGTAACACCACCCCTGACCGTCATTCCCACTCTCGATCTCTCCGGGAGGATAAAACTGCCCGTTGTAGTAGCACCCCGGGGGTGTGGTGGGAGCAACTGTTGTTGGCAGGGGGGTGGATCCACAATAAAAGTTGTCCCAATAGTACACATAACCACTAGGATCACAAACTACTCCATAACACCCGTTGGGATCAGATTTAACTTCTCCTGGGGGATAGAAATCCCCCTGGTAGTAGCACCCCGCCGGAATCGTCGTTGGTGGAACAATTGTTGCCCGCAGGGAAGTTGCCGACGAGGGTATCACGATGGATATGAAAAGAAGCACGCCAAAAGAATACATCTCTAAAACAGAAAGAAATTATTAATTTTATACGATTGGGTAGCATAATGAGTGATTAATTTTCTGCACAATTATTAAAATTTATCTTCTCAATTATGACTGAGTATTGCACCACCAATGATCCAATGATGACCATAATATATCGAAAACTGTTGACTCGACCATTTTGTAACCCAAGAGTTTAGCGAACATGTTTATGATCGAGTATTAGTGCTTCCAGTCGAAACAACGGCATATTTCATGACTGAGAAAAGCATTAGTTACTATACGGTGCTAAATATCGTTTTCCTAGTGATCTTAATAAGAGTAAAACAGTAAGTTTAAGTTTAAACAAGTCTAAAGCTATTCTGGTTGGTTGGGAAACACGAAATCCAAAATCGGTCGGAATCCCGGAATGCCAGGCTAGGAATTAGTAGTCAGAAATTCATATTATTAACATAAAAACAGTTTTCATAAAATTATGGTCCAATTTGTAGGTCTCGGTCGGCCTTTATAGGTATTGTGGTCGTGGGCGCCAAACTTGTACCCAGGATTCTCTAGAGAACCGGCCTGGGTACGAGGTTGCGTGGGCACTTGATTGAGGGTGGTACTAAAGGGGGGTCATCGGACTTCGGATCACGTTTAATAAATCACGAAATAAATAAATTCTCGTTTCCCGGCCCGCAGATAAAAAATCATGGCTCACCGCTAGGCATGCACACGTTTGTAGCCGTTATTTCACAAGAATAAACATTGGCAATTCACGGCTCACGAAAATACAATTTTTAAACCAACTCGGGCTAACTGAATTTCTCAAGAATTGCCAACACTAGCTTGCCCGAAAAAAATCTGAAGATAGGGAAGAGTTCCTCAGAAAATCTGGAAATTCTGCATGGGAAAATGTGATAATCTTCTTAGTTAAAAAATGAATATTTTAGGGTTTGCCAAGTTGCATGGGTAATTTTGACAATTTTACCCGTGTCTCGCCTCGTCCTCACACTGAAGCCCTGGGAACGAGGTTGAATTTTACCAAAACCGCGGCTTCTAAATTGTGTTTCGGGACATACATGGATGACTGAGAGAAATTGATTAAAATTCTTTTTAATTTGTCTATTTTTTTAATATGGCGGAAAAACAATGACAATGTTGAGCTTCGAATATGCAAAGTAATTAAAGTACGAAGACATATAATTAGCAGAGAATTAGTTACCTCCACAGACCACAGGCCGTAATGAATTCCCCAATCTCGGGAAAATTGGCGGAAAACATATTTGACATAATAATAGGAAGTATGACAGGTTATTAGTTTTTGTAATTTTTAAGTGGAAAACACACGGTTGGACATGATCTTTGATAGTTTTTAATAAAAAAGTTCGCAGGGATTTTTAATTACAAGTTTACATGTTAATATTTGCATTCACTCCTCTGTTGTGTACTTGTGTTTGTTCCTCGTCTCGCTTCAATTACGGCATCGTTCGGTCCAGGGGTTACTTTAATGAAATTTTATCACTGCACAAAAAAACATCAAACTGCAGAATATTACATAGTCATATATAGCGAACGAAGGAGCACTGGGTAGCTCTCTAGATTATAATTTATTCAGTGCATGCTGTACTGGGTTACATAAAAATTGGCTTCTTCCCAATTCCTTGAATCATATTAATCCAAAAAGGGAAAATTCATACGAATTTGTAAATTGGGATGATGCACCAATTTGCGGATGGCATCAATTAATCCAGAGAGACCATCCAGCTAGGGTTCTTTCGCCAGAAAACTTTCGAATTTTTATCCCGCGTCTCCGGATGTTGATTTCTTGCATTTTCGGCAGACACAAATTTAGATACACTCCATCTTCAAAGATTGTCGATACTACAATTCCGTGCATAAAATATGGTTATATTTTAGAAAAAGGATACCTTCACACAATTTGATAATTTGGCTGTTAAATTTGCTAAATAATGATTGTGTAATATGAAAGGTTAACGTTATATATCGTGCTCTTGAACAAGTTAATTGAACTATAATTTGTGATAACTGATGCAATCCTTTCACGAAATTAAAGAAAATCATTTCTGCACAAAATCTGATCATTGCACAAATTGGTTATCACTGCAAGATTACATATAGTCACCACATGGGATTAAAAAATACCTCTAACTGTTCATGACCATCAAATCACGGTTAATAGAACTAGATTAATCCCGTCATACAAAGGTAATTAAGACTAGCCGCCACAATCTTGCATAATTCTATATTTTGTGCATTGCCAGGCTAATTTTTCAACAGAGACTGCTATTTATAGCAAAGTGTAAGAGTTTAAAAGATTATACAAGGATTTTGAAGATTTATATCAAGGATTATATATCAAGGTTTAAAGGATTATAGCCCTTTGGCTTTGTTTGAAATGTGAAAGAAACACTAAAACGACACTAGTCATGCAGTCTTCTTTGCTCATAGGCATAGCAGAAACTCCGGTACTTTGAAGATCTATTGAAGAATTAATTCCTCAAAGACAATACCCATATGGTATCATATTTTGAAAACATTAATAGTATTCTATAAGGCGGCAGTGATTAATTTCGGGAGAAAAAAGACAACCAATTTTTCGAAGGTCTAGCTATACTATACTCTATAGATTCACTTTTTTCATACTAACATTAACAAAGATCAAGCATTTAGCTAGGCTGTCAAATGTCTTTTTTACCATTGCAATAAAAAATGACCAAATATGATTCGATATACTGTAATCTGTATACTGGCCGGTCGAATTCACCAATATCCAACTTTGTCTGAGTATTAAAATTTTATTCTCGAGGGTATTCTAATTTCGAATTCAAATTTAAAAACTTCATAGATGTGCATTTGGCGGAACCTTTGCCCCCTTTGGCATTAATTATTTAATTATCATGCAACTCTTGCCTCTTGGACTTGGTTAAAGATGATGAAACTCGCGATTTAGCACGAAATTTAGTGGTTAAAAACTGAGTTACAAAACATATTTTACCATATCCTATAATTAAAGTTTGCAAACCGAATTCACGATGCCAATTAACGTCAGTCACAAATTCTGACCAGCCAGCATGTTTTAATAGACCAGGCGTTTTGACCAGCTAGGCAGGGATCATGATTCACCCGGCTTTATATAACTCGCCTCGAGAGAAATCAAACTGTATGCTGCCTAGTTGAAATCGCAATATGAAACAAGCCTTAAGACATGACATTCTTATAATAAACGTTCTCATGCATGCATTTTTTTCTGTTTCTATAAAACAGTGAAGTTTGGCCAAGAACAAAATGATAATAGCCGTGAATAGGTCGATGATACGGCTACTAGCCTACTAAAATTATATTATAGGTAAATTACTAGCTTACCATACGCTTTGGTCAATTTAGCACCACTAGGCAT